TACTCTCTAAACAAGTGTTTTTGTAGCCATTGATGTAATTTAAATAAAATTCATAGGTACTATATGCAAAGTTGGACCCCAAATTAAGTGAACCTGACTTATGCTCTTCTTATCATTCCCACCTGTCATGTAACTTTGGAGCAGAGATACCAAACCTCTTTTTTTGTATTGACCTGTTTCAAATGAATCATTTACTTTATTGACCCCATTACATTTTGCTCTATGATGTACAAAATGCAGCATCATTGTAACACACATAATTGCACAAAAATAATTTGAAGCTAACGATTAGATTGATTTTTACTTTTACAAATATTTTAATGATTTAACAATTAGATTATTACATGATTTTACAGAAATTGCGATTTTGTTTCAAGTTTGCAGAAACAAAATCGCAGTTTCTGGTTGCATAGATGTTCAGTTTTAATCAATGTGGTGTTTGTATCTGATGTACTGATGAAATATTTTTTAATATTTGGCTTAAAAAAGTTTGACCCAGTTTTTAAGTCGCCTCTTTCAAAAATATTAAACTTGTTTCTTGTCTACCTTAGTAAATTATTGGGTAGTTTTCTATTTCGCTGGCGCAGGCAATAAAGTCACCAAAAATAATTCAACGGACGCCAAACGGAATATCCCCGCTGGTAACCTTTTACACCACATTTTCAAAACAAGTTTCTGTCATTTCTTATCAGTCATATCTTTTTCCTAATAGTCAAGAATGGTTGGGGGGGGAATTGGAATTTGCCCAGAACAGAGGAAGAATTTGTCAGATTCTTTCAAGCGAAAGGCGTTTTTCCTAAAATTGCTGCTTGTGATAATAATCATGAAATGAAATTGAATTTTGGAGATGAAATTCAATGCAACCTTTCAACTTGTCGCAGTAAAAGTATCTGGAAAGACACATGGTTTAAGTCACCGAATTTGAATTTCTTGAACAGTGTATGAGGTCTATTTATGATTGGAACGAAGAACTAACTTCAGTTAAATGGTGGGAAAGGCAGTTGGAAATAAGTCACAGATCAGTTGCGGACTGGAATATCTATGTGATTGAGGTTTGTGTTTATTCTTTGCTTAAACGTCAACAACAGAAAATAGGAGAACCAAGTATGATTGTCAAAGTTGTTGAAAGTATGTTCACGATGCACAAAAACAGTGTAGGATGGATCACAACAGTGGAGCTTTGGTAGAGTTTGTCGTGAAGCAAACAAATGTTTCCTTTTGAAGGTTCCAAACTGATCCATGAGTATTATATTAGAAGCAATTAAGGAAAATATCTAAAAAGGAACTATAATATATTCCGATTCATGGAAATCATACTGCACTAAAAAACTGAAAGAGGAAAGTTTCAAACATTTCAAAGTGAACCATAAATACAGTTTTGTAGATTTCGAAACTGGAACGCACACACAAAAATTAGAAAGAATGTGGGGTAGTGCCCAATGGCGAAATGAGAAACACGGAGGAATGACACATCATCTGGAAAGTTATCTTGCAGAATTTATGTGAAAGAAAGGAAACGAAAAACCTATGATATTAAAATGTTTATACCTCCAAAGTAAACAATTCATAGACATGACATACTTTCCCATTTCTCGCCGGCGCAAATCTCGCCAAGCAGACTTTGTTGGCGATAACATACAATATACTCATAAAAAATTTTAACAAACGTTAATTCTAAGAATTTTTTATTTTGAAGGCATAAACATTTTAATATGGTTTAAAATTTTGTAAAAAACCAATAAATAAAGACAATAAATTTGTAAAAAGACATTAATTTAAGAATTTACTATGCTTTCATGGTTCACATCTTGATTCGCCAATTTGTATCACATGACTCCAAGTGATCTCATATCATGTTAACTACACTACAAAAATCTAACTCTCTCAATAATTATCTACATTAATTTCAAATTTAGTTTGGAATACAAGTTTAAATGCAAGAATTATTTCAATTCGTACGAATAGCTTACTCAGAAATTATGTAAAACCGCAGTGCTTTATTTCGTTAGTGCATTCTCATTAGGATTGATGAATTTAACCCTTGATTTTGCCTTTTCTTTATTTTTGCCTTCGGGTGAGCGGTGTGATTGCACTCTTAATTGACTTAATTACCGAATGGTCTTAGGGCATAAAATTGAACTATCTTGTAAAAATTCTATGTAATTGTATGCTAGTATTGAAAGAAACAATCAATCTGATAAAAAATGGCTGCAACTTGTTTTGAAAATGAGGTGTAAAAGGTTATCAGCGGAGATATTCCGTTTGGCATCAATTGTACCATTGTTGGCGACTTTATCATTTGCGCCGGCAAAATGGAAAAGTACCATTTTTTTTATATATGTACTGTGTGTTGTTGTCAATAAAAACTGCTTGAAGAGATCTGCAGCATTAATAACACTTATGTGTATATTGTGTGATGTCACCAATAAAGTCTGCTTGGTGAGATTTGTGCTGGTGAAATGGAAAAGTACCAATTATTGACTTGATTAAAGCCTGCTTCCAGTAGGTAAGTAGAGGAAAATGTCACTGATGTTGATGTGGTTGCAAATTTTATTTTAGAATATTTCTGTTGGATGGCTTTTAAGTTCCAAAATTTAGCATACCAACATGTTTTGCAGATCTTTTTTTAACATCATTTTTCAGTGCAGTCAACTCTTCTTGCATAGCAAATATGTCACAGTTCCAGTTTACATCATTCTGCGAGTTTTTTTTTTTTTTTTTTCTGATCAAATTAAATTAGTGAAACATTCAATATAACAAACCAAATTTCCAGTCCCATGCAGTTCTTTATAGCAGGTTTTTGACTTATATTTTTCCTGTTTTGTCAATGATTCTTCTTCATGTACAAGTTCTAATGCAATTTGCCAATCACTTTGAATTTTTTCTCCCTTACCTTACACATCTGAACAATTTGCCTGCAGGTTGTATGTGCATCACTTTTGGGACTCGGAAACTTTCCACTAAAATAGGATTAATATTCTTCCTCCCTTCCGAAAAAATATTTTTAAGCAAAATATGTAGGGAAAGTTTTTCTGGAACATAATGTATTGTAAAATTTTCAAGGATGAAACTTCATGCTATTCTTTTTGTTGTGTTTCGATTTCCAATGACCTTTATAAACAAATTGGAATATTTCTTGCCTTAAACTTAATTTAAAAATATGCACTTAGGGAATTTGCTAGCAATAGAAGAAACTATAGGAATATAGAATTTAGACACAAAATCGCTAAAGGGAACAAGGAAATATGTTTGGAAGACAGCCAATGTTGCATGGTTTGCGTGATACAGAGTCTCTACAATTCTTGGTTTTCACTGTATGCTTGGAAGTAGATTGCAAAAAAATTACAGAATAATTTGATAATGTGCTTTATTTTTTTAATGCAAACATAATCTTTATTTAATAATTTGTGTTTTAAATTGCTAATTTATGCTGCATTTTAAATAGTTGGAGAACCTTTCTAAAACAAAATTACAAGAACCACAAACTTGTACCTATTAAGTAACTTTTACCTTTTCATCTGTAAAAAAAAAATCCTTGTCAAGGTGGTTGTGTTAATATCTAAGTGCCAAATAAATCATATGCAGAATATTAAATTTCTCAACAAAACAAATATATTTTTTTTAAAAGGCGTGTTAAATTCAAATTGTAGGGGCAATTACGTATGTATAAATTTGCTCAAAATCCTTTAACTTACTGCATAAATTTTTTAATATAGTCAAAAGTCGTTAATCCAGACTCGTCGGGACTTCGGCGATTCCGGATTATCGATTTTTCCAGATTATAGATCATCAGTTTAAATCTGGTAAGATAGCATGCAGAAATTATAAAATTAAAAATATGAAACCGTAATTTATGAAATAAAAAACAATTATGATCTAAAGGGTATCAAAATTTACAAAAAAAAAAAAAAAAAAAAGCTTAATATTTTTTTACTTTATTAAACATTTCTTTCAATGTAAGTTGTTTAAGTTGCTTCATTTTTTATGTGATAATACATTCTCTTTAATTCTATAAACAGACATAATTTCTTGTTCAGTTACAAAGTTCCGCTGTTCAAGTCCTATAATTGCTGTGTAGAGAATGCCGACTAATTTGTCAATCGAAATTTTTTCGTTTTCAATAACCTCTATCACTTTCTTCGCTATCGGAAGCAAATTATAATGATGAGGAATTTGATTTAAATCATATCAAAGAATGAAATACTACATTTAGTAAGGAATTATAAGCCAAATAAAATAAAAACATCTGCCCTGAAGATAAGGATAGTGCTGACAGATCAACTTCCGATTCGCTGCTTGCCGCGGGGTTCCCCCTTCCTCTCCCCCTGCCACCGAGCAGTGTGAAATTGATAAACAGATTTCGGAATGGTTAGATAAACAAAGGATTATGCCTTTATCCATTTTTTGCAGAAATTCCACTTTTTGTTTAATGGACTTTGAAACATACTTTCGCTTTGTAGATGCTTTACATATTAGTAAATATATATCGGAAATTCTATTTGACATAATCGAAAGTTCAAGCTTACTTTTATAAAATTGCTCTAACAGTCTGCAAAAAATAATAAGCCGGATCCAATGCGAAGATTAAGGAACAACGCAATTTGCAACATTAACTGAATTAGATAATTTTAGCTTAGATTATACCATCTGTTATACATTAAACACACATGCGTAAGCGTATTATGCGCATGCTCACACGCATATTTGCAGCCGTAAAGGTCTTATGCGCAAGCGTCAACGCGACGCATGCGCAGAAAGTTTGTAGCTTTGAGGTCCGGATTATGGGTGTCCGAATTAACGACTTTTGACTATATCTGTTTACATGAAATATATAAAATCTAATATGATTTCTTATATCAAACTTGGTAAGGAATGTATAATATGTTGTTATTCCATTTATTTATTATGCTTTGCTTATCAAGAGTGCAGAGGCTTTCATTTCATTGATACATGCTTTTTCATTTGTATTAATTAGCTTAATTGCTTATTTTATTTTTTAGATATGGATGAAAGTGAAAAATTTTTAGAAGAATCTTCACACACTCCAGATTTTAGACATGTCAAGACATCCACTGCAGCAAAAGAAAATGTAAACTGGTATGTACATTAATTTATTTAAAATACTCTGCCCTCCAAAAGTTAAGGATCAGCATGTTTTGCAAAGCTCACCCTTACAAAAATGTCAGTATTATTTACTTTCACAGTTTGTATGTGTGATAGTAGTGAAGTTTAAGAAAATATTTGCAAAAACAATAGCTACCTTTTTTATTTTATAGAAATGAATATAGGAGTTGGAGCAAAAATACAAAAACTGCAAGTTTTGTTCATGAGTATTTTTCTTCAATTGTTATTAACAATTCCGTTGAAAATATCCAGGAGAGTCTATCAATGTCCAGGAAAAGTCGTTTACCCAATCGGTTGAGGTGGCATACCATTGCATGGATAGAAATGGGGATATGTCTAGCTGATGCTGCTAGACATCTCAATGTCTCTTGTAGTGTGGTAGACTATGGAATTAGTTTGAATCCGAGGATTCTGCGACTTGAAGACGTGTTCCAGGCAAACCAAGCTTTACAACACCTGCAGGAGACTGTTATTTAGTTCTTTCAGCCCGAAGGAGGAGCAACATTATTTGCCTGAACTCATGGCAGATCATTTTTTGGGAACAAGAATCTGAGCTATTACAGACTGCAGATGCCTGCGCAGGTTTGTATGCAAGACAACCAGTTGTTTGTGTCCCTTTGACCAGAGGACCCAGAGGTGCCTGTTTATGTTGGCAAGAGAACACATATTATGTACCAGTCAACAATGGGCATCTGCTGTCTTCACAGACAAGTCCAGGTTCACATTGGAGAATGATTCAGGTCATCAGCTGATCTGGAGGGAATGCGTGACTGCACCGAGCTCAGGTTGCTGAAGAATAATACCTTGAGGGTCACTGTATGGAGTGGATGGAATGGTCAGCTTGATACCCATACCTGAATCCAATAGAGCATCTTTGGGACTACCTTGGGAAACAGGTTGCTGCTTTAAGTCCTCCTCCAAGGTCGTTAGAATAACTTGAACAAGGATTACTACGTGTCTGGTCGTTGCTTCTCATTTCGGTGACCGACAACTTAATTGAAAACATGAGATATTGCTGCCACCAATGTATTGGAGCTAGGGGTGGACTCATCCCTTATTAAAACCCATTTCTGTAATGTTACCACATTTTTCCTGAAAAAATTATGATGAAATGTTTCTCCAAGACTGGATTTCTCTGCCAAGAGTGTAAATTTTTGTTGTAATTCATGTTTGTGGTGAACCTTAGACACATTCTATGTCGATTCATTAAAAAACTGTTTAGGGAATATGTCCTCTAAATTTCTGGTTTCTGTGTTGCTTCATTCTCAAATTAGACACAAAAAAAAGCTGATATACTTTGTTACCAAAAAGTGTGATTTAATTTCAAAAATAGATAAGCATGATATCACAACACAGTCATAAGAATTTTCTCTTGGTTTTATGCAAACCATGTTAATTTTTGATAAACTGGCTTAACTTTTGTAAAGAAGGAATCCGTGTTTTCATTGCATTTTGAAAAACTATTTAGTATTTGGTGTCTGTCTTTCATGGGACAGCATGTAGTAGTTTATTTTCCAAGTTGCAGGATCCTGACAATTAAAAAAAAAAAAAAAAAAAAAGGGCATTGTGTGACTTTATTTGATAATAGATGAACAGTTGTGATGCAGCATAAAAAATTTTTATCAGTCATTTTTGTGTGCTGTAGCAATAATTTGTATTAAGTAAAAAAGTATCTCTCTGCCAGAATGACTGGAATAAGTTTGGCAACTTCACCATCTTGCTTGTTTCACTGGTTTTCATAATCTGATACAATGTTTTACTTTGTATCTGAAGCCTATGAGCTATAGCTGAAATATATTTTTTCTCCTGAAATCTTATATAATTTTAAATGTAGGTTTTGATATTCAAATTGGTAACAAACGAGATTACTGTTTATAATTGTAAACTGGAAATTTTGCCTTTTCTACTGTAAATTCCAATTTTCATAATGTTGAACTATCCAGAATTTGGTATTTACAGAACGTTGTGGATAGTCTTATACTCTACTTCTGTTTCTTGTGTTCTGCACCTTTTGCTGCATCATCATCATCGGGGGGGGGTGCAGTGAAAAAGGTAAATGAATAAAATAGCTTGTTTCTGAACTGACAAGGATACAAATTAAAATTTTTAAATAATCTTAGAAAAAAAAATAACCTTAGAAACACAATCAAAGTAATCTGTGTTTTTTATCAGGCCAAAGTATGCAGGGCAAAACTTGTGCCATTAAGAAAAGATATATATATATATGATATGTATATTTGAAATTTGTATTTATAATCCAGAGATAACCAAAATAATTCAGTAAAAGTGGCAAACTTATTTACAGGAATTTTATAATTTTCCATAATTTAAATTTTGCAATTTCTAAATTCTAGATTATACAGGGTAAGTCAAAATGAATGATTTAAAGGATATGTTCTTTTTGTTACACTGCCTACATCATGTCTGTAATGCAATTCTTGGCGAACCTTGTGTAGCATGATTGTATCGATGATGGCAATAGCAGCTGTGATATGGACATTGAAATCAGTCACGGTCGTTGGACCAAGAGGCATATATGCATGATTCTTTATGAACCCCCCAAAAATGCATAGGGATGAGATCTGGGATCATAGTGGCCAAGGTAACTGTGCTTTGTCTAGAGAGATACATGATCAGTCCACCATTGTAGTAACATTCTTTTGAGGTCATTCTGTACTTCAATCAGAAAATGGGGTGGTGCACCACCGTTACAGAATAATGCTAGGCAAGTCATCTTTATATGTGTGGCAGAAGCTATAACTGGAGTCTATCAAGATACACATTCCCATCATGGTGATTTCATTAAAAAAGAACAGTTCATGCATCTTTTCATTGGATATTGTGCAAAATGCATTAATCTTCGTGCAATCATATTTGTGTTCCACTGTTATGTTTGGCACCTCAGATTCTTACGTCAGTGCCTATTCATTGATCTGGAAATGTGAAACTTTCATTCATCATAACACTAATTTTTCAGAAAATTCATCCTTCATCAATGTATCACAGAAGGAGATGTCAAGTCTTCTCATTTCAGCAGTTTCACCAGCTGAACTAAAATTGCAAATGAACTGCCCGAGAACTCTTAGGCAGTTTTTTGCGATACACCCAATTTTCATCCAACTCAATAAGTAAATTTTTGAGAGCTTCTCACATACCTGTCTTGAATTTCCCATTTAAAAGATAACCTTTGCAAATGCATACTCTCTCTTGTCTAATTATGGCTGTCTTGAAATTATAATATCTAATTATGGCTGTCTTGAAATTATAAATACCAACATCAAATTGCCTTACCATCTGGCACTATTTGTCTGTATTTCCTTTGCAAATGGCACTGAACAATGATAATGGACTTGTTTGCATGATGCTGAAGTGCACAAAACGCTTTCTGCTGTTGCATCATTTGTCTTTGCACAAACTCATTATCCCAGCTGCTTACGCTAATTACACTTGCGGTGTCATCTTTTGCGAAATATAAAATTGCAAACTGTTATTCATAACTTGTGTATATTTTCTTTTACCGTGTGTATCTTTTGAATAAGTACATTAATTATATTTTGCGTAGTAAATTGAAAATTATGCAGTAAACTTTTTTAAATTCTAGCATTAATTTTGATTTACTTTGTATATGTATTTGTGGAAAATATAATGGTTTTATTTTTATTTTCATTCATATTTTTTTTTTTTGTTTTGAATTTTAATGATTGCCATTTTTTCCCTTGCTCATTGGAAGTAGTTGATTTATTTAGGTAATTTATGTGTGTGTATATATATATATCCAGAGGTAATTAAAATAATTAAATCACTAAATGTGACAAATTTACTAACAGTAAGTCTTTCAATATAATAATAAGTACAGTCAAAAGTCGTTAATTCGGACACCCATAATCTGGAATGATCTATAATCCGGACCTCAAAGCTACAAACTTTCTGCGCATGTGTAGCGTTCATGCATGCGCACAGGCGTTTACGAGTGCGCGTAAGACCGTTACGACTGCGAATATGTTTGTGCGCATGCGCATGTAATGTGTAACGGAGGTAAGCTAAAATTATCTAATTCAGTTAATGTTGCAGATTGCGTTGTTCCTTAATCTTCGAATTGGATCCGGCTTATTATTTTTTGCAGACTGTTAGAGCAATTTCATAAAAGTAAGCTTGAACTTTCGATTATGTCAAATAGAATTTCTGATATATATTTACTAATATGTAATTTGTATCTACCAAGCGAAAGCATGTTTTGAAATCCGAAATCTGTTTATCAATTTCACGCCGTGGATTGGAAGTTCATCTGTCAGCACTATCCTTATCTTCAGGGCAGATGTTTTTATTTTATTTGGCTTATAATTCCTTACTAAGTGTAGTATTTCATCTCGATGTACTCCATCTTTGATATGATTTAAATCAAGTTCCTCGTCATTATAATTCGCTTCCGATGTGAAGAAAGTGACCCAGAGGTTATTGAAACGAAAACCATTTTGATTGACAAATTAGTCGGTGTTCTTAACACAGCAATTATAGGACTTGAACAGCGGAACTTTGAACTAAACAAGAAATTATGTCTGTTTAATAATAAAGAATTAAAGAGAAATTATCACATGAAATGAAGAAAACTTACATTGAAAGAAATATTTAATAAAGTAAACAAATAAATATTAAGCCTTTTCTTTTTGTAAATTTTGATACCCTTTAGATCATAATTGTTCTTTATTTCATAAATTACGATTTCATATTTTTAATTTTGTAATTTCTGCATGCCATCTTACCAGATTTAAACTGATGATCTATAATCCGGAATCGCCGAAGTGCCGACGAGTCCGGATTAACGACTTTTGACTGTATAAGTCTTTCAAAGCGAAGTCATTCAAATGCCTGCATTCATTTTCTTCCTGGTGCTTTTCTCCTCATCACATTAGCGTATGGCTCATTCATTCGGGAGTTGTTAAATGACATGCCAATCATTCTTTTGAAGTGGCTAAAAGTTGCTTCCATATTTGCATGCACCTTCCCTGTCCTTTGTTTAGCATTAATATTTAGCTACTCATGCTCACACTTGCAGTCCTGTCCTAGGGGAAAACTGCACACAGTGGGTGAAACCGCATAAAGATCGCCAAGAGAGAATTAATTGCTTTAGATAAAGAGGTTATTGTTAGTGCTGTAACATTCTACTTGGCTTGGGGGAAGGAAATCTATTCCAACAAAAATTCTTTTTCAGGAACGTTTCAGATGTTGGAGAGAAACAGTTTTTGACCTCTACTACCGATGCGAAATAGTTAAATAATTTTATAGTTTTTTCTCATAAAGGTATTAGACTGTAATTTGAAGTCTTCAGATTGTAAGCTGTTTTATTATTATTATTTCTTTTTTTTTTTTTTTTTTTTTTTTCTATCTAATTTTTTTTTTCCCCCCCAATGTGTTATAGGCGTGACAACTCTTTCCAGAAGCGTTTGCAGCTGGGTCAGACATTAGATTCCTTATACATCTCTTCTGGTGAAACACAAAATTCAGTTCTCAGTGAAGTTACTAATAAGTACAATTTTTCTGTGTCAAAACCTGAATTTAATTTACAGAATGGGTCATCAAGTGATGAGGATGCTAATTCCTCCCTTGGCCTTTTACCTAGAGAAAATTTCAGTGGTAATTTTTTTTTTAATAAAAATGTTTAGTTAATATGATCTCTTGTTATGTATTCTAACATTTTATGCAAGGAATGTTTAAGTTCTGCATGCTTTTAAAGAGTAATTGCTAATGTTTTTGTATAATAGGTACTCTTTTGTTATCAGGACCAGATTCTGAAATGTATGCATGTATTTATGAAAGTATACACATACACTGTATGCACATATATACGCACGTACATACTTACAATTTCTGAATCTGGTCTTAATAACAGAACAGTACCAATATTCCATGTGGGATCTGCATATTTGTCCATTATATTTTCTTTTATATTGTTTAGAAATACTAAAACTGTTAAAAGCATGTTAAATGGCACAGGATTTTTTTTTTTTTGGGGGGGGGAAGAGTTTATTTTTATTTCCTAAATTTCTATGCCCTAAAGTGTAGATTGTGATAGATGAAATAAATATAATTTAATATTAGTATCATGAAAATAAAAGTGTTTGTTATATTTAATTATCCTATAAAAACAGAAAGTGGGCAATTTTATCTGGACATACAAAAAGCGCAGATACTCCCATGTGACAGTCTAAACCAAAACCGAGCCAAGTGGTCGATCGGTTGTGCATATGCTGTTGAACTGCTAGCAGTCAGTAAAGTCTTAAAATTGCGACAAATATATGGTATCCAGTATCTGAGCAATTTGATATCCATTGCATCTCTAATTATAAGCCAGGTAATTAGGAACTTTGTTTAAAAAAAAATCCCCACTTTTTTTTTTATTTAAAGACAAATCTCTCAGAGAAAAACCTTTCGTTTTACCTTCCCCCCCCCCCGTTTCATATAAAGTAAAATTGATTTATTATTATTATTTTATTTATTTATTTTTTTTTTTTTTCTAAAATCTTTCTTTTTTCCTTTATTTTCTAAAATCTTTCTGTCTGAATTTTAGTTGGGCTGTTCAGCAAACTCTTTTATATTGTATAGACCAATAATACTCAACCTGTTTTGCCCCTTGTATCTCTTTTGCCATTCCTAGATCATTCTCCCATCCTTTCCTAAATTCAGGGTTCGTACGGTCCTTAAGAGTCCTTAAAAGTCCTTAAATTTTTTTGAATCGATTTTTGGTCCTTAAAAGTCCTTAATTTTGGCAAAAATCAGCAGAAGGTCCTTAATTTTAATCATCTGAAATTTCTGTTTGTTTTTATGACTGCCATTTTGAGTGTGAATTAGCATTTTGGAGGAATATTTTTGGCGATTCACTGACATATATGGTTAGCTTTTGAATGAGTTCATGGGTTATAATTTGTTTCTGTTTCTAATATAAATGATGGGATACTTCGAGTTTCTAAAGCAAGAAGTGAAACATAAGCATTTCAAAATTCATTTGTTCTAATAAAGAGCTCTTAAACAAGTTTTCGCTTTTGGGGATGTGAGTTCTTTTATTTCTATTCTAGTTCTTTAAACAGTTCTAAATTTGGCAACTTGTCACCATTTTGGCGATTTTAAGATCAGTTTCAATGGAACATTTTTCATTCCGAGATCTGAAACTTTTTCGACGATTTTTTCAAAACATCATGACATTGATAAATTTCATTAAAATAATGGTAACATATTGAAATTATATTAAAAAATATAACATTAAAATAAAAATTTTTTATTTTTTGCTGTCATATTATAAAGTTTCATTTTGGCAACTTATACAATATTTTGAATCTGAAAAATAAACAAGGTTTAATGTTATAAAGCATAATTTACGAAAGAGCTCTTAGCAAAAGCAAAATTAGCTATATAATTAATTAAATTGTCTTCTTTTTAATTTTTTCATAGTAAGCGTTTTTCCCATGTAATTATCTTAAAATATTCAAAATTCTTAGAAAAGGCATCAGTTTTCTCTCTATAAAATTAATTTTGCACTTTTTGCCCTTTTTTTTTTTTTTTTTTTTTTCCCAAAATATTTCTGGCTTTTTGCTGTTTACAGAATTGGTAGGGATAATTTTTCTTTAGTATTTTAGACATTGCAGCTTGGAAAGTTTAGAAGGATTTGAAGGCAAGAGATATAGACCCACGATTCAAGAAGATTCGAGAAATATGTGACAAAACGAAAAATATCTCCATAGTATCAACACATAATGGATATATTTTACAGAAAGTTTGCAATGAATTTCTTACTTTTTAAAGAATGTCTGGAAGAACAATGAAAACATAATATTTGAATGTTTTACTCCTGATACTATAGAATCTTTTTTTTAACATGTTTATCTTCCCTTTATTTTCTCTACTTTTCACTAAACGCAAGCATGGAAAATATCAAAAATGCTTCTAATCTTATCACTTGAGCAGGCATTATAGAAAAGGATTTTTTTATTAATAAAGAAATTGAAAGCTTACAATTTGAAAGATTCATCTAATATGTCTTAATGCATCATACACATAGCTGGCACTAGGCATTTTCCCTTCTGATGCAATCTCTGTTTATCCTAAATTCTGCTTCCAATGCCTGCTCTAAATTCTAAAAGTTTTGCCGTTTCTAGATTTTGTTGTTCGGTGTCTCACTAAATTCTAAAAATTCTGCCACACCAGCTCTGTAACCGGCTTTACCATATATATTTCATATTTCTTCTGAATATTCATATTACTAAAGAAATAAAATTAGCCACTTTTTCTGTATATTCTAAATGCATTTAGTGTTTTTTAGAATAACAAAAATCCTTAATTAAATCCCAAAATTCTAAAATGAATAGGTAAAGCGGTTGTAGAAAGAAACTGAATACATAAGGAAAATTATTCTTCAAAGATATGTGCAGTTATTATTAAGTAAATTACCCAATGGTTTATGATTTCAGCCTTTACTATAATTCCATTTCTATTTCCTCAAATGATAGAGTTACTGAGCCAGATTAAATTAAAATTAAATTGTATAATCTTTAACCACTAGTCCACATTTTGAGTTTGAATTTGACTGCTCTTGTTTAATTAATTACGTCACCATGAGCTGTAATTGATTTTATTAACATCAGAACATGCCTTTGTGTTATAAGTTCTTTTTAAATAAGAGGCTTAAAACCTTTGTCTGATATTGTAGTTACTTTCAGACATAGCAATAATTTGCTACACGTCTGTCTGGGGTTTCAGACTATTTAACTTTTACCACATCAAGTAAATCCCCATAGGTACATTGTGGAGCAATTGATAAGTTAGGAGATAAAGCACGCAACTAGCGATAGCTTTGGTTTGCATATTGAGACAAATCTCTCGTTAGAAAAGATGCTTAAAAAGAAGGAAATCGATATAAACTAGCCAAAATGTTTGGGAAGGCTTTAAATTAAAATGACGGATAAATATTTTGTTGAGTGTTGTTGTACTATAGAATAGTTGTTACAAAACAGAACTGTTTTGTAGCTTTTAATGTGTAATTTATCATTTAAGTATCAATGTCATACATTGCATGTATTTTAAACTGTCTAATGATAATCTAATATCATTTAAGTATCAATGTCATACATTGCATGTATTTTAAACTGTGAAATTCTATTAGATTGTGAATTTAATAAGGCCTTTTTTAACAAATATTGTTTAAAAAATTTAATAGCGACCATAAATCCATATTGACTAAGGTTATCTAAATACCTAATTTAATCATTTATAATTAACTGTTTTTCCTTAAAAATTATCTCTACATATTAAAGTGAGTTATTTGCCTTTCATAAATACTCACTGTGGTCACAAGATAAAACACAAAAATGTAAAACTTACTCTTTGCATCTAGTGAGACTTAATACAAAACAACTTATCACCTCTGGTGCTTTAATGGCTTATTGGGACCTTAAAGTATATTAATTGAGTTACAACCTCTAAAACTCTACACAAAGCTGTGACACTAACTGCATCAAGCAGAGCCTGACTGAATTTCAACACTTGCCAACCGTGCCTACATCAGGCCTTCCATCAGGCCTGGATAATCAGCAGCGGTGATTTTTTTGTTATGAATCATGCTGATTATGATCGTACTTCTCATTTTAACCTATGCTGCTTGACATAAAAGTCTAATACCTGCTATTTACTAAATCTCTAGACTGACCAAGTGTGTGACAAAATGAGACATAAAAAATCAACATAAAGCTAACTATTAGTAAAATTTAAATGTCACTTATCTTCTTTCAAATATGTCCAACTATTATAAGTGTAAAATATTTAATGCTACTTGATAAATTGCATAAAGTTTATTTTATTCTCAAACTTATTAATAATTATGTTAATTCATGTTTAGTAATAATGCATACTACTTAGAGATCTATTTTATTTTTAGGACGGTATTACAAAAGTGAAATTCAGGCATAGAATAATATTTTTAATTGAATTTATTTAGTTCCTATTTGCTCATAGGTCCTTAATTTTTTTCATTAATGGTCCTTAAAAGTACTTAATTTCCGTGTGCAGAAATGTGTACGAACCCTGTAAATTTTAAAAATGTGTACACATTTATTTAGATTTAGATTATTTTCTAATGTGTTTTATAAATTAAACAACCAAAAATAATTGAAACATTCATAGATTCCAAAACTTGAATACAAATACTTGTACGAAGTAAAGGAAGTATTGAAATTGCAAAAATTTTCGGTTATCATATTTCAATGAAAATATTCTCTTTGACCACTATTGAATGCAATTTAACAATGTTTTTGCATGGCATCTGTACTTTAGGACAGAATAAATGACTCTTTTTCCCAAAACGGTTTGCAAAAAGGATTTAAAATGGATTCAGAAGATATTTTTTTGTTTTGCATGTTCAAAAACGTGTAGCCTCAGAACTTTAGAATTTTGTATATGGGACTGGTATAATTTATCGTTGTGCACGCCTCCCCTTTTGATATCAGTTGGCCACACCAAAAGTGTGTATATAATGTAAGAAAAATAAAGAATATGTAAAAGATTAAATTAGCAACGTAAATTTCCCTTCTGTAGTCTAAAAATAGTAACCTCTATTTGCACTGCATCATTTCAAGACTAGTCTATGTCATATGACTTACATAATACTGATGATGTAAATGAACTAAAACTCAAACAGCCAGTAGTAATTTTACAGCAGTATTAACTATCCAATCAAAAAAAAAAAAGTTTTTTTTTCTTATTACATGCTCCGCCCTTAGGCATTACACAGAAAGGAAGAGATACTCCATGGAGGTCTTTTTAAGGGAAACTGACTCATATCCACGTTACACATGGAAAAAACCACAAAAATGCCCATGCAGCCAGCCCGTTCTCCTGGACTCGAAGAGCGAATCGAACTACCAGTATTCAGCAGCTTTTTTACCGCTCGGCTGCTGGTGGGCAATCAAAATGTATTGAGAACCAAAACTAACTCAATCGGAATTAAGATTTCACCCTGAACATAACGCACTTGCTTTCTACACTTTGGCGTAGCTGGTCTACAGTCTGTCTGCTCCTTCTTTTTTACTGCAAATCTATAAAAAATGTAAGCTTTTTGGAATAGGCACAATTAATGTGCCAACTTGTTTGTGGCCATAACATTTTGCTGTATGGTGAAAAAATGAAGATTTAATCGGCCTTCACCTCCAATTTCCTATTCATTATGAATCAACACTTCTATGTCATCAAAATTCCTGCTGGTCATTACTTCTGAGTTCGATGTGTGTATATATATATATTCTGTTTTTCAGTTCCACAAACTTTTTTTTTTTTTTCCGAAAAATTTTGATCCCGAAAGTGACGTGCGTGATCATGTAGGAAGTTTCAGCAGTTAATGCAAATTTTGGTTAGAACAATTTACAAACTGTTGTTTAGTTTACTGTGTCATTATATTTTATCATTTAACACAAACTTTCAAAAGTTTTTCATATTTTGTGTGTATTGTTTCTTTGCTAAAACTACATTCAGAAGTGTTCCGTCTTGCTTTATTGAAAACTTTAGAATTGGTTTTGGCAGAATGCATTGCATTCTTTATAACATAGTCAATATGAATAACGCTGTTGAACATTTATGATCATTGGGTCAATGATGAGCCTTAATCGTGTTATCAGTAATCTTAAAAAATGAAATTCTGTGTTCAGATGTGCTTTTTTATTCTTTAAAAGTTAGTATGATTAATATTAAATCTTGAGTAATTCTGAATTGATGAAGCAAAATTATTTACCTGTCTTCCACTTATCACCACTCTTCTTCCTAAAACTCTGTAGGACACAGCATACTAAATGAATAATTCCAGTGAAAATTTAAATGAATTGCATTTACAATAAAATATTTGCATAGACATCCTGGAACATTAGTAGCATATGAATTTTCATTGTACTCCAATATGTCTTTATACTCTGAAAGTTCTAGTGGCATTATTCGACAAACCTGTGGATGGCACTCTGGCAGCTTACAGGACACGATAACTAGTGTTAAATTGCAAGCAGTAAGAAAGTGATTTATGGCCAAGAGGAAGAAAACAGGCATAGATCTGCAAACTAAGTTAAAAATCCTATAGGAAGTAGACCATGGTGTATTGCAGAAAAGTACAGTTGCGGAAAGTATTGAACTGCCAAGTCTGCCTTATCCATAATACTTTAAAGATGCTGTATTTGGTTCCAAGGACAAATCTAAATGACTTTGCAGTGCGAAGGTACTGAAATGTTATTTCTAGAATAGTTCAATCATATGTACACTTCCAATGCACCTTTGAATAGAACTATAATTCAATCCAATCCAATCCAATCAAAAGTAAATGAGATTTCATTCGTTCTGCTGGTTGGTTCTACCAGTTGCAAAAGTGACACTCAATTTCATCATTAGTGATTTATGGTGATGCAAATAAAGTTGATGAAGAAGAAGTAAACACTGATTGCATGAATTTGACCAAGTGAGAGAAAAGCATGCCCCAAGAAATGACTAGAAAATGGACGAAACTTGACTTTTTTACTATCTTTTCTCTAGTCTTGGAATAAAAGGTGACATGTTGCCATGATGAAGCATGCAGTAAACAATATTTAACTTTTGTCCTTGTGTGTAATGCAGACGATAATGATAAACACTGTCCTTAGGTGATGAGTAAGTCTGAGCAACCACATTGTTTTAAAAACATAAGTAGTACTTCGCATCTGCTTCCACCGTAAGAAAGCTTGGATCAACACCTCATCATTTCACAAATGGTTTCTTCATTTTAATAGTCAAATCATAGCTCAGAATAGGCATTTTGTTATGAGATTGGGCAGGCATACAGCCCTAATATATATGATCTGAACAGTGTAAAGGTTCATTTTCCTCCCAAATGCAACAAGCTAAGCCATCGAGACATAATAGCAGTTAGGAAGCGATCTTATCGCAAGCGATTTGTAAGAGCTGCAATTAGTGCTGCTGAAAAAGAGATGGAAAATCCAATCTGGAGTGTACTGATGCAGTAAAATTTACTGCTGCACCCAGGAAATCCATGTCATCACAACATTATAGAACTGTTTTAGCAGAGCCTGGAAATATAAAGACGCTAATCCTGTTGATGAATTAGATGGTGACAAATGATACCACTTCGCCTGAAGAATATAAGAGTCTATGTGCACTAGTGGAGTCTGAGGAGTGAGAATTTGCATCAGTAGAAAGTGGGGAGGACAATATTATTCTGCGCAACTGCCAAAAAATATACACTTTGAGCTCTGTAGAATGTTTTGCTGCAACATCTAAATTAACCACTAGTTTTATGAAAGCTTTGTGTACAGTTGTCTATGATGTTAACAGGCATTTTTGTTCCCATCTATGACAGTGCAATATACAAAAACTTTTGACCAAAAAACTATGTGCAAGCTGATTCTTTAAGTTTACCATACAGTAATTAATGCAATTACTGTTACGTTTTTTGCTGATGACGTATATAATATATTGTAGTAGTTATGTAACTATACACTGTAAATGGTCAGTAAATAGAAAAAAAAGTTATTCCAAATAAAAAATTTGAGTCCCCAATTAACACAAACTGTTGGTTTTTCGATCCCTTGAAATTCACGTTAACAAAAATTTACTGTATTTAGTATGCAATGTATAGTGTGTATTATGTAATCCATGTTTTAAACTTATTTCATTTTAGATGTAACAGAAACTTCTCTAACTTTATGTTCAAGTGCAAGGAAAAAACAGAAGTCTAAAAAGAAACATATCAAAGGATCAAGTATTTTACCAAAGTATTTGCAACAAAATAGGATAAACAAAGTATGATTTTTTTACATTTTTTACTACTAAAACTTTTTTTCCCACTTAATAGTGGTCTCAAACCTAAATAGCATGTAGGCTGAATGCACGATCTAAAAACAGCTTATGAGCCAGATATTTTTTAACAAAATGAAAAGTATTAATAAAATAAATGCTTTAAACAAATTTTAAACTTCGCTTGCTGGATATTTATCAGAACATACATAAACAATAATAATATTGCAAAGGAAAAAAGAAATTCAAATTTATTTCCTATTTAAATATTCTTCATCTGTAATCTTATTTAAACATTTATCTATATTCTTCTATAAATATTTTCTCCTTGTAATCTAAAGTTTGGTACCTATATGACATTTTCATTTTTTATAATATACAAATATATTAACAGCTAAATATTAAATTCTTAGAATGAAATTTCTTTCAATAATTCTAACATTTTTAATTAATCATTAAATAACTTACTGACTAACTTATTTTAACTAAAAATAAACAGAGTATGATTAACTTTCTAAGATTTCAAAGAAAATTTACCAAATATGACAAAACTTGGGAATAAATAATAACAATTTAGTCTCTCTTATTTACTAAATAAAAAAATAAAGGTTCTGTTCTGTTATCTGGATCAGTTCAGAAATGCATGTATATGTTCATGTATGCATTTATACATATATATGTATCTGTGTGTGCATACATGTATACACTTCTGAATCCAGTCCTGATAACAGAAGAATACCAAAATGAATAATAATACATAAGCGTGTATATAAATAATTGAAAACTTCTTTATTTCTTACTATAGTTTAAAATTTGATGATATTTTGATAAAGTCAGTAGCCTTGGAGAAAAATGACTATAAATTATCTTCATCGTGGATTGTAAATATTCATCAGTCAATCTGATTCATTTATTTTTAATTTTCAACTTTAAAAAAATATATATATTCACATATGCATGTATTTCTGAACAAAGAGGTTATTCATAGTGCAAAAATTTGTAATTGAGTTTATTTATTTATTAAGAAAAGTTAGTAAAATCCGTATTGTCAAATCTTTGAATAAGATTTATGTCACACTTTAAATTAACTAGCTCCGTCTATAGATTTTCTAGTAACCTTGCACAGAAAAGGAAAAAAAAAATATGCAACAGTTCTATATCTCCCTTCCTACTGAACCAATTGTCAAAACTTACCTTGCATTTTTCTATGTCTCGAAAGCGCAACTTCGGATATATATTACATTTATATGCAGTCAAAAGTCGTTAATTCGGACACCCATAATCCGGAATGATCTATAATCCGGACCTCAAAGCTAAAATCTTTCTGCGCATGCGCCGCATTGACGCATACGCATAGGCGTTTTACTCGTGCACCCAAGACATTTACGACTGCGCATATGCGTCTGCGCAAGTGCAGAATACGTTTTCGCGTGCGCGTTTAATGTGTAACGGACGGTATAAGCTAAAATTATCTAATTATCTATTTCAGTTAATGTTGTTGATTGCGTTGTTCCTTAATCTTCGAATTGGATCTGGCTTATTATTTTTTGCAGACTGTAAGAGCAATTTTCTAAAAGTAAGCTTGAACTTTCGATTATGTCAAATAGAATTTCCGATGCTGGAGCTCCCAAAGGATCTAGAAAATGAAAGTATGTTTCGATGTCCATCAAACAAAAAACGAATTGCTACAAAAAATGTATAAAGGCATATTTCTTTGTTTATCTAACCGTTCCGAAATCTGTTTATCAATTTCACGCGGCTCTGCGTGGGGGGGGGGAGGCGACGTCGCGGCGCGCAATGAACTGGAAGTTGATTTGTCAACACTATCGTTATCTTCAGAACAGATGTTTTTATTTTATTCGGCTTATAATTCCTTACTAAATGTAGTATTTAATTTCGATGTACTCCGTCTTTCATATGATTTAAATCAAATTCCTCGTCATTATAAATACCACGAATACAAATCAAATAGTTTTCTGGTTGCAATTTTCTAATTTCGCCTATGCGTAAGGTATGCTTTACGCATCCGCGCGTTGAAAGAAATGTTTAATAAAGTAAACAAATAAATATTAGGCTTCTTTTTTGGTAAATTTTGATACCCTTTAGATCATAATTGCTCATTATTTTCTAAATTACGGTACATATTTTTAATTTTATAATTTCTGCATGCCATCTTACCAGATTTAAACTGATGATCTATAATCCGGAATCGCCGAAGTCCCGACGAGTCCGGATTAAAGACTTTTGACTGTATAGCATTGTTCTAACATAGGCATTTTGACACAAAATCTGACTTTTTCTAAAAAAACATACCACTTTTTTTCCATATTTCGATTCTATGACTCAAATAATGCCTAGGCTTTAAATTTTGTAATTTTTGGTGAGAAATTTATGGAAAAATTTAATGTTGGCACATTTTTTCAATTTGCACCAAGATTAATTCACTTGGCGAACTTCTTAATTTACAACAACGTATTTTCCTTCATTGTACATGAGCAGGAAAAAAGGTCATCATTCATACTTAAAAATAATTTTAACAAAGTTTGCAAATTACATTTGGCGTTATTATCGCTTATAACAAATGCCAAATTTCAAAATGCACTAATATGTAAATTCACGTCTTAGGAACTTTTGAATAAAAAGCTCTAATTTTTTGCAGGTATGCTTAGAAATGCATCTGCTTTAAGATGATGGTAAAAATTTTGTAGGTTATAACTCAAATTTGTTTTAAAAAATTTATGAAAATTATTTAAAAACATAAATTTTTAAAATAAATCATAAAAAAATAGGCGAATTTTATTTGGAATGAACCTAAATTTCAAAATGTGAAAGGAAGAATCAAATAAGTTTAATGAAAAAAGAGCTATTAATAAATTTATACCAAATTTAATTAACATTGAGAACTGAAATTTTGAGAGCTAATTTTTTGAAAACCACTCGTGTGATTTTTATAAAACTTGGCACTATGGCATAATTTGAGTCGCGGAATGAAAACATGGGAAAAAAATTGGTATTTTATTTCAGAAAAAGTCCGATTTGGGGTCAAGATACCTATAGTAGAACAATGCTATATATAAATCTAATATAAAGTCGCGCTATCGAGACATGGAAAGCGCAAGGTAAATTTTGACAAATGGTCCAGTAGAACGGGAGGTATAGAACTGTCCCTCCTTTTTTTCTGCAATGTGTACATTATTCAGGTTTATTTTTATTGGAAATGAGAATGATATAAACTTAGATGAGAAATAACTAAAATCTCGAAATATCTGCAACTTTGTATTTGTCGCAAATACATAATTGACAACATATGCGTACAAAAAATGCATAATACATGGGCCCCACAAAATTGTTTTGAGGCGTTGCCAGTTTAAGATCACTGTATTAGTCATCAGTGACAGTTTTGCATCAATGACTATGTGCTTAGTTGCATAATGCAAGGACATTTCAACAACCATTTATGTTTAGTTCCATTACAAGTCTATAATTTGCTTAGAGTTAGAAACATAAGAAACCCTAGCCTCATTTGTGGCAAATCATACAGCTTACATATGGTTTGCATTAGGTTTCTCTTATTGTTGCAACATGTACTCAAAATAAATTTGTGTAATTTTTCCTCCCTTCTTAAAGGAAAGCTGTGCATCTGATTCCGTATTCTCTTCTGATTCTTTGGATGTCAGAGAAAGTAAAATTAAAGATGATGTGGCAGATTCTTCCGATATTGAATTCGACGGCACTAATATTCCCGAACTGAATTATGATTACAATCCTTTCTCTATTACTGAGGGTAAGTTGCAAAAGTATTTATTTATTTTAATAATTTATTTTTGTATTACATATTCTGACAAATAAGGGAAAAGTATTGAAATATTTTACCTAAAATGTAGTTGAAGAGCCCCTCCTTTTAAATTATAAATTTTGAAATGTGTTAGCAAAGCTGTGAGGTTTTTTGTTCATAATGATGAAGACTATTATTTTCTAAATTTTAAAGATTATTATTTTCTAAATTTCTAAATTTATTTTTCTAAAATTATTTTCTAAATTTCTAAATTTTTTATTTCTTAAAGACCATTATTTTCTAAAATCTTTTCTCCTTTCCGTGCTTTCATTATCATACCCATTTTAAATAAAATTTTACTATATTAAAACCTTTATTTAAAACTATTTTGTTATTGATTGAAATTTGAAAAATTGGTTAATAATGTCTTGTGGTAACAGCAAATGGCTACTGAAAGTTTTTTTTTTTTTTTTTTTTTTTTAAATTCAAAATTTGGTAGAGAAGTATTTCCACTAGAAATATGAACATAATCAAATCATCACAAAGTTACCCTTCTATGATTGGCTGTGACCTAGACCATAAATGTATACAACGTTCTTGTGTAAATGTTCTAATGATGCTTTGAAATTATGTGGCTCAAGTCATGTTAACAAATGAAGTGTCATTACTATCCAAATAGACAAAACACATATTTTATCCACATTCAACCTTATGTATCCTAATGAATACAAACTAATTAGGGTTTAAAAACATATATAAATATAATATTATGATTACAAATACATTAAATGACATTAAGAAACATTTATGATATGTCAGTCAAAAACATTTCTATTTATACTGTGTGTGTAATATATATGTCGTGTTTTAATGCGTAGATGAAAGAATCAGGTACTTTAATTTTTGGCCTCTGAAGGCACTTTATTGGGCAGTTGGAAGGATGAATGCGTAATCCAAAAACTTCCAGATATGGCCGTTATAAATTTGTTGGATAATTCTCATCAGATCATTTTCCTATATTTTTCAATCATAGTTGAATACAATAATTTCCACGTCATCTTGTGCAAGTAAGCAGCAGCATGGATGAAGAGTGTCTTGCCAGGAGGAAATTTAAGCGAAAAAGGATGTGTCAATTCAGAAGAAGAAGGAAGGGAGTCAAAAAGTTTCAGTTTACAATTATTTACATGGTCAAGAGGTATCTGCATTAAGCATTATGTTGGATGGCATGATTGATTTGAATGATGCAGTTTAGACTTATAGCACTATTAAGACAGAGAGAGGAAATCCCCAAATTAAATAAAAAGTAAAAAAAGGTTCTAGCCAATTAAAATTAGAAGTTTGCTTTCATATTTTTTATCTTACACACACACACACACACACATATATATATGATATATGTGCTAATTGTTTATACTAGGGATGCATAACACTTTTTTAGCAGAAGGGCCGCTAACAGAAACGACTTGGTTGCTGAGAGCCAATAGCATATGGAAAACATTTTCGGTGGTGATGGGGGGGGGGGTTCAATGCAATAAGTTGCTTAATTTGCAAAATCAGACATGCATCATATCAAATTTTAATTGATTTGGAGACCATTATGTATGTATGTATCTAAGCAAAGAGGGATGGGGTTTCCCTTTTCCCTTGTGTGTGCTACTGGTGCCAAAACATCCAGTTTAGCTTGGGAGGGGGAATACCGCTTATGCTTGTGCATGATAATTTAATACTTGTATACAAGTATTTTAATAAAAATGTGTACAAGTTATCCATAGTTAAATACACTAGTGTCATGGTTGAGACTGAATTTTATCAATAATTTTTGATATATTTGGTTGAAAGTTAGTTGTTGATATTCTTAAAACAGATTACAAGTATTGATCTGTCAGTTTATTTCTTAATTTTAACTTATTTAGATTCATAAGAGAAAATGATTTTTCACATATATAAGTACTACTAAACATGGTAGCACATCTGCTTGCATTATTTTTAAGCGCAAAATTTCGGCAGGCAGAGTTCTATAAAAGTCTAGAATATCTAGAATAGGAATCTGGATTTGCATAAGTCGGAAGTTTGTAAATCAATAAATTCTATTTGAACATCTTCTGGAGCTTCTTCGACTACAACAGAAAATGGATCCCCGAACAGTTTAAATTTAACCTTATGCAAGTCATAGTCTGTAAATTGCTTTTCAAAAGAAATAGGCAGCCTCTTTATTTGATCTGAATAATCCAGTTGTTTATCAGGAAAATTTTCTTTGAGTTTCTTCAAGTAAGGAAAATTGATAAAATTTTGACAGCCAAGCTGCTTTAAGAACAGCTGGAGTTTTAGTTTGAAAGCAGATACTGCATAGGCCAGGTGATTGATGAATTGTTTTTTCCCATCAATTTTTTGTTTAGGTCATTCAGATGGGCTGTCACATCAACTAGAAAGTCTCTCTTGAAAGATGGTTCCTTTAACATCCTAGTTTGCTTGCTATTTTCTTCAAGGAATGACTTTATTTCATCAATCAAATCAGCAAACCTTTTCAAAGCCTCTCCACAGTTCAACCATTGTACTTCAGAGTAATATATGAAATCACTATGTGGTGCATCTGTGTGTTCTAAGATTTCCTTAAATTGCCTGTGGTTTAAACCATGTAAGCAAATAAAATTGAATGTATCGCTCACTACTTTCATTAGGCGGCCAAATCCTAGTTCTTTTGCACATAGCTGTTCTTGGTGTATGATGCAATGATACCCAAGCAAATATTTTCCTCTGTCATCCAAATGGTTTCTCGGTAGACTCACCATGCTATTCTGAATTCCAATCATGGCTGGACTCCATCAGTAGTGATACTAGCAAGTTTGTTAATATCAAAATTATGTGCAGAACACAAATTTAAAACTCAGGATAAACTATCAGTCCTAGTTGTTCGCCCCTTCATTGAACTCATTCCAACAAGTTCCTCCAAAATTTTCAGAAATTTCTCTAACAAAAGAAGCTAAGCTGTTGAAGTAATATCTGTTGCCTCATCAGCTGCTAGAGAAAAGTACTTAAATTTGGTGGCAGCATTCTTTAATTGTTCAGTAACATCATCAGATAAATTTTCAATTCTTTCTTTGAATTGTCATTCTGCTGAGACTCACATTTTTAAATTTCTGCGTAACTTCAGGGCATACTTTCTCGGAAGCCAACAATATAAATTCCTTTGCAAAATTGCCATCAGTAAATGGGTGGCCACTTTTAGCAATTAAATTCCAAAACTAACTTCAACACAGTTATCTAACTGTGAAGATGCCTTTGCAAATACATTCCTTTGAGCAACGAGAGAAGGGCAAAGAGATTCAATTTTACGATTTTGATTCTCTCCTCAAGCTTTGAAAATGTTGAGTGTTTCGTGTCGTAGCGTCGCTTAATGTTATACTCCTTGCAAACACTAATCGTAAAATTACATATCAAGCATGTAATTCTATTATTTTGCTCCACAAAAAAGTACTTTGAAGTCCAGGCCTTCGAAAATTTCCTGTTATCGTCCGCTAACTTTCTTTTCATTTTGCATCCATTCATCATGGCAACTATCATAACCACGGCGAACAAAAATTGCAAAAACTCTACGTTAGTTCCACTTTCAAAATAATACTTTAACAAAAAAGTAAAATATTCAAAACATGAAACTTCTTTGGTCTCGAAAAGAAAAATAGACACACGCGTGATAAACAACGTATAGTCACGAAGCCAGATGTGCAACGATACCAAGCAAATGAATGCACCACTTTGGATCCGAGCAAATATTTTTCTCTTCCACTTTACTAGTGCATGCATGCAAACACACTCGTGCTAGGTCATACCACAGACTCTTTCTCAATCTTCTATAGGTGTTGGTCCTACAGGCAAGGAGCAATTTTCGTGTTCAGGCAGCAGATACGGGCTTTGGTTGACGCCGGGAACTTGACTCAGTGCCAAATCTCATTTCGAGGGGACAGAGTAGAATGAGTAATGAAGGGAGCAGTAGTAATTTTTTTTTTTTTTTTCTCACAACCCCTTCTTGAGACAACCGATATGTCTAATCGCAACAAAGGTTTGAAAAGGCCTCGGCGGGCCACAGGTTGTGCATCCCTAGTTTATACTATATATGACAATACTCATTGTGTTAAGCCACAATGAGAACAAGCCCTTAACCTTTTGCTGTCAGTGGTTTAACACTGAAATAACCTTTTTAAAATATAGAATGTAATACATACTAGAATGTAAGCTAGTGGTTTCTTGCACAACCACATGCATTAATAGGTCGCTTAAGACATCATCTTTTGGATGAAAAGTAATTAATAATCAGAAATTTAAGGGCAAAATATAGTGTTTCATCACTATTGGTATTTTCTTGGTTGATACCACTTATAGAGTGCCATAACCTTGCTTTTTATGCAATAAAATATTTCGATATCACTCATGCAATAGTTGGTAAGTTATTTTCCCAATGTATGTGGATTCGTATATTTTGACATTTTGTTGACATGAGAATCACAAATTCCTATGTCATGTTCTGTACGAGCAGTGAATTAGTTCTTATGATTAAGAGATTTTCGAGTTTCTGTAGTAAGAGTTCATAGCACTGTGGAGAAAGGTGTAAAACGTGGATGAAAAAGTGAAGACACTAACACATGTGCCAGAAAATACAGACATTTTGCTCCATCTAGGATTTTCCCGCAAGAAGCAGCACATATACCAATGTATGGAACATCTTTTTGATGCACTTTATGCAAAAGAAAAGCTGAACCCATTGCACAAAACAGCAGTTCACAGTTTGCAGTTTTTGACTGTGCCTGAATGACAAAAAGTACAGTTAGTTCTGTTACAGTATCATCAAAAATAAATCAAAACATACCCCTAGTAGCATTGTAGTATAACTACCATATTTTCTGTATAATAATTTAATAAAAATTTTGTTCTTTTAATTTTCATTGCCAATATGTTAACACGTTGACTGTCACACGCATTTTACGTGGTTTGCCCATGATGCCAACTTGAAATTT